CGTGTGTTGGAGCTCGTGTTCTGAAACGTACGATTACCGTGAGGAGGCAAATAAACACACTCATTACCCCCTCCACCCCCCCACCCCCACCCTCATGGTGTGAAGTCTTAATCACCACCATGATCTTATTAAGAGAGCGTGTGTGTGTGTGTCAGTTGAGGCGGAGTCAGGAAGGTGAGCTGTTCGATGCCTGGGCCTCTGGCCCTGCTGCACAATGGTGACTATTGTCCTTTATTCTGTACCGGTGTGTGTGTGTGTGTGTGTGTGTGTGTCTGTCGAAGGGTACTTTTTCACTGACGTGCGTTGACACTGCTCCCACTCACCCTGAGGAGTTGCCCTCAGCAAACATCTTCACAGTCGCCTACAGAGTTCTGGGAGTCGTACCTTAAACTCTCTCTTTGTTTCCACATTAGTCACCGACTTCACGGGACAATTTAGCTACAAAACAAGGTTTGAGGAAATTAAAAAAAGTTTCTTTTCAGAAGTCCAATTAGCAGAGTGTGATGTAACGGAGCGGTCCGGTCGTGAATCCGTTCAATTCCAACCCTAATGCCGAATAATATTCCACTTAACGCAGTCGGATCAATGCGTTCCCTCTGTTGGAAACAGAAGCACGAGCCTCTCCTCACTGTTGAAGCTGCTCTTCTCATTTATTTAACCAATAAAGAACAAGTTCAGGTCTGGGCGTGTACTCTTTGTAGTTTTACTTTTCAAGAACACATGCAGATCTCAGGAGCTTTGAAACAGAGGCTTCTTTACAACAACACCATGTTTATTCATACGGTGGTGCAGTGGATTCAGACTGGTGTTCACTTCCACCGACGTCCAGACGTATCTACATTTTTATCCTTTTGATTTGTTTTCTCACCAATTCCCAGTCCAATATTCCTGGTGTTGGTTCATGTTCTTTTTTTCTTTTCTTTCTTCTCTAGTGATTCCAAATGTAGATCCTTCTGTTCCAGTGTTAGTAACTGATGTTCAGATGGAACAGAGTCTCAGACTAGGATCACACTGGGACTACAGTTATTAGTAATATTGCAATATATTGTATAGTTGCTTCTGTATCGTATCGCTAGATTCATTGACAACGAATCACCGACAGCATCATCAGTATAAACGTCCAAAACATGGAGTGACACGGACAGAAATCACTGTCGATCCATTCGTACCAGAGTCAGTGTTTTCTTGTTGTAATGTTACACAGCGTGTGTGTGTGTGTGTGTGTGTGTGTGTGTGTTAGTCAGTGTTATTTTCACTCGCCTTCAGCCCTACAGTGTTGTTGTTGTTGTGGTGGTGCAGACTCTGTCAGGTGATGATTAAGAACTGTGATGGAACTCTGTCTTGTCCTGAAGCTGAAGGCTGCCTCTGTCTCCTGTCTCCTTCGTCAGGATTGGACGTGTGGTTACAAATTAACTTAAACTTGTAAAGAATTCGATTTTTGTGCAAAAAAAAAAGTTAAAGGAACACATGATGAAATTGGCTCTAATCTTCAGGTTCATGGTCTCACGCTCTCTCCTGGTAGAGACTGAGTGGAGCTGTGTTTGTTTGAATAGTAGCACAATCACGCCCCCTTGTGGGCCCGTTTTGCAATGACGTGTTTAAAATCTGATCAGACTGGAAAGTCAACTGAAAACCTGTGTTTTTAGTTAATTTTTTTTTCCTACTTAACTTTTGACCAATGTTAAATAAGAATTTGTGAAACTTTTACATTTTTTTTATTTATCCTCAGGTTTGAAAGGATCGTTTCTCTCCCAGATTCATTATGAGTTGGAGTTTCCTCACACGTTTGCTGGACGAAATCTCCAACCACTCCACCTTTGTGGGTAAAATCTGGCTCACGCTCCTCATCGTTTTCCGCATTGTACTGACGGCGGTCGGCGGCGAGTCCATCTACTACGATGAACAGAGTAAATTTGTGTGCAACACGCAGCAGCCCGGATGTGAGAACGTGTGCTACGACAAGTTCGCGCCGCTGTCGCACATCCGCTTCTGGGTGTTCCAGGTGATCGTCATCACCACGCCCACCATCATGTACCTGGGCTTCGCCATGCACAAGATCGCACGGATGGACGACGCCGACTACCGGCCCAGAAAGCGGATGCCCATGGTGAGTCGCGGTGCAAACCGGGACTACGAGGAAGCGGAGGACAATGGCGAAGAAGACCCCATGATCCTGGAGGAGATCGAGCCGGAGAAGGAGAAGGAGGTGGTGGAGAAACCCAGCAAGAAGCACGACGGGCGCCGTCGCATCAAGAGAGACGGCCTGATGAAGGTGTACGTGTTCCAGCTGCTGTCGCGGGCCGTCTTTGAGGTGTCCTTCCTGTTCGGACAGTACGTCCTCTACGGAATAGATGTGAAGAAGATCTACACGTGCACCTCTGACCCCTGTCCACACAAAGTCGACTGCTTCGTGTCTCGTCCCACGGAGAAAACGATCTTCCTGCGCATCATGTACGGCGTCAGCGCCCTCTGTCTGCTGTTCACCGTGCTGGAAATCCTCCACCTCGGCATCAGCGGCATCCGGGACTGCTGTTGTGCCCCACGTTCTCGCCCCCCCACCCCTCGCCACCCAGCCCTGTCCAGCCAGAGGTCCTCCATCTGCCGCCAGCCCTCCGCACCTCCAGGTTACCACACCGCCATGAAGAAGGACCCGGTCGGGAAGATGGCCTTCAGGGACAACCTGGCGGACTCCGGCCGCGAGTCGTTCGGGGACGAGTCGTCTTCGCGGGAGCTGGAGAGGCTGCGGAGACACCTGAAGCTGGCCCAGCAGCATCTGGACATGGCCTACCAGAACGAGGACAACAGCCCGTCACGCAGCAGCAGCCCGGAGTCCAACGGCACCGCGGTGGAGCAGAACAGACTGAACTTCGCCCAGGAGAAGCAGAGCAGCACGTGTAACAAAGGTGAGACTCGTTTTGACTCGTGGCTTTTCACGGTTGGTGTCTGTGACGAAAGTCAAACTAAATGTTCGTGTTGTTCACAGGTCTCAGGGCGTAGGCTGAGGTTGGCTCAACTGGTGACACGAGGGGCAGAAAGTGCACATTAAGGATCAACACAGTGAGTGAGTGTGGGTGTGAGTGAGTGAGTGTGTGAGTGTGAGTGCGGGTGTGTGTGTGATGTCACTTGAGATGGATGAAGTCAGCTCAAGCCCCGCGGTGTTACGACCGGCCGTGGTTGAGTCGAAGAAGAGCAGAGCGTCTCGACCCCAAACTGTGAGACGTCGTCTCGTCTGAAGAGTCAGAAGTGCTTAAAAAAAAAAGACCATTTTATGTTTTATTTACTTTGTTTTTTTTAATCTTCTTTTAAGAAGTTTTAAGTTTCTCTGTGTCTCCGTTAACTGGACCCATCTCAACTTTGCCTTAGAGCTGAACTGGAACTGTTTTGTACGAGCGTCTGTGACCGAACCAGACGAGTGTCTGTTGTCGTTCGAGTGTCTGTCAGGCACCAAGAAAAGGTACTGGGCGTTCTCTGGGTTCTCCGATGAAGACTTCTAGCTGTTTTAATACAAAGGTTTCTTTCCAGTTTGTGTGCGTTTTTGTTCTTCTACAGTACACTGTTGGTACTGCACCCGTCGTCTTCCCCAGGACCGGTGCCTGTAACAGTAACTGGAACCACACTGAGGCGGCCTTTGTCCAAAGGAATCAAACAAACCTGGGTAATGCTTGAAAAACACTTGATACGGTCTCAACGTTTTACGCTGGTATTTGATACTGTTTGTTTATTTTTGTATTAGTGTAGAATGTTGTGGTGTTGAACGAAGCTGTCGTCACTGTGGCCAACCGTTTTTTTATTATTACGTCTGTTTTAATTCCCTGAAGTGTAAATATTTTGAAGGACCAGTTTAAATACGTTTGTGTTCTACTACAGCAGGTTGTCGCTCGAACAGTTGCACATCATCTTTGACCAGCGTTTCCTTGTTCAGGACAGAATGGACGGTGTCTGTGGGAGAACGCGCTTCCACGTTTTGAGAAGTGCTGATCTTTGTGTTTGCGGTTCAGACTGTTTTGGTTTTTTTTTTTCTTTTTCTGAAAGGTCTGTTAATGATGTAATCATTTCAATGTGAAGCTGCTGTGGAGCGTTCTCCGAGGCGTGACATCACGTCATGAGTTTGTATCTCAATCACAGCCACAGTGCCAACTCAGAAACTGTCATCGCTAGTTATTTTTCAGCAATGCTTTTGTACTTTTTTATACTTTTTGTATCCATAGTACTTTGTGGTAGTTTTTTTAAATAAAGTTTTTCAACAAGTTTGTATATCCGCGACTCCCCGTGTTTTTCTACACTGCTCCAGGTCAAAGCTACAGCAGAATGAAAGATGATGCCACTGTGTTTGGTTGTTACCACGGTAACAGGTTTTCACTGAAAGGAGATGAACGTCTGCTTTCAGTGACTGCAGATTGAAAACATAAAACAAAACAGTTCCAGAAACTCAAAAAAAAAAAATGAAAACATGCAAATCTTTATTACAACTTATTTACAAACGTGTGATTTATGTTGTGATTCCAAAGTATTGTTAAGCCTGAAGATTGTACATCTATATCTAGGAGCAGCAGCAGTAACGTTCATGTATTTATATATAGGAAGAAGGTTCTGTGAAAGTCTAACATTGACATGAAAGTATATTGATATATTTAATTGTGTGAAAAAACTGATCAGAAATATTGCAATATTTCAGTGTATCAATATTTTCTTATACTCCCTAGAATCAAGTGTATTCTGTCAGCCACATTTAAAGGATCTTTTCTGTATTTAAATTCTGTCGTCTTGTCTGCTTTTTATTATGAAGTTGTAAATCGGTTGAAAAGGTCTGGAGGCGTCTCTACCACCCAATCAGAAGAAGTGAGAAAGTTGCAGGGGAGGAGCAGAATCAGTCGTAGAAAAGCCTTGAAACTTGAGTTCCAGTATTTTCAGTTAAAAGCAAAGTGAATGAAAGTGAAGTGTGTTTTTAGCACCTCTGCTGGACAAACATTTGTTAATTCTACTGTTGAGGCTGGGAAGGAGCTGCAAACTTTGTTGACCAACATTTACACCATTATACTCGTGTTCCTTTTTTTCATGAAGAAACAAACAGACGATAAAACAGCTGCAGAAACTGCAACAACCAGCAGAGCGAAGGTCGTGTTGAGTCCAACCGCAGCGTCTTCAGTAGAAAGGTTCATACCCAGGAACTTCACCTTGTCATCGGTGTCTGGTGCAGTCGTACCTGAAAGACAAACATCGGGGATTATTCTTCATATCAATACTGTCAACACGTTCGTTATAAATACAACAACTTTAGGTTTGTAACCTTTCATACACCATGAACTGTAACTCATTTTTTTGACTTTCTAACCTGTATTTTTCTGTAAAAATGTAAATGTAAAATCGTACCTTCTGGCCCAGGGTTCAAACACTCATGTGGCCCAGAGTTTGGGTCAGGAAACCCGTTGCAACTAATGATGCTGGAGTAAAGGTCAACAGACGACTTGGCCACTCTGGGAAGATTTGGGTCTGATCTGTTGACGTAGAAAAGACCGAATCTCTCTGAAAAGCCAGTTGCCCATTCCAGGTTGTCCATCAGTGACCACGCTGTGTATCCACGGATGTCCACATCATCCAGCAAGTAGGCTAAAAATGAAGGTGAAAATGAGTACCACGCCCTCTGGCTAAGTTGCTCATAAATGCGATCAAATGTAAGTCGTAGTCCGATACCTTTCAGCACCTGGTTGAGGTATTTTTCGTAGTAGTGGCTCCTGTGAATATCATTTAGATCCACAGGCCCCCTCTCTGAAATACCGTTTTCAGTGATGATGATTGGTGGATTTCCGTACTCCTCTTTAATGAAGTTTAAAATCCTTCGGAAACCAAACGGGGAGACTTTCAGCCACGATGAGCCGGAGTCCAACCAGGTTCGGTCAGCGATGGTTCCCGCACCCCTGTGTGAAATCACAGATTTTAAACATATTCAGCCACTTTTCAAGGTTCTACTTCCTCTAGGTGGCGTCTTATCATAGCCACCATCGACCTTCCAACAGCATCTAAAGGTCGTCCCTCTTCAGCAGCGGTTTATTTTCTTTAAAGATGCTCAGTTTTTCATTGAGGATCAACACACACTCCCTTTTATTCCATTGATTAGAAAGCTCTTAAAGTAACTACATTGAGGATCAACACACACTCCCTTTTGTTCCATTGATTAGAAAGCTCTTAAAGTTACTGAAAACTAGTACTAGTACTAACTTACCGATCTGCATCATAGTGCTGAAGACTCCCATAATTCACAGGGAATGCCAGCACGGTAGTGTAATGGTTGAACCCAAAGTAGTCGTAGGTGCCCTTGATTCTCTTAATCTCTTCCGCACTAAACTCCGGCAACCTGGAAACAAATATTAGTTCAGTGATTTTGTACATGATGTAACAATGTAAACCAATACTACACTTTACACTCGTGACTATTTAAAAGTATGTAATACCGAGATTTTGGCAGACCAGCAGCCAGGCTTCGTTCCCGAATGATTGTCTTCATTGTGTCACTGTAGTCGCCATTAAATATCGGATGGGCAAACCAGCCGATATAGAACTGCAAGGACAACACAGCTGTTAGAAGGAGGGCAAACGAGGCTCAGTAATAAGGTCACTTCCTACTAATCCTGTACCTGGACCACCCGTCTTGCGGCGTCTATGTCCTCCTGCTTGTAGGGATTTCTGGGCTCCGACCAGTCAGAGTTGATTGTGATGGAGATCAGTCCCTTCTGCGTGGGTCGGTACTTCTCATTGTAGAGGTGCCAGGTTTCAGCATGAGCTTTGATCAGGTTGTGGCCCACGATGTAGGGCAGGGTGCCAGGTCTTAAACTGATCCCTAAATACATGAGGATGAAAATCAGGTGTGTCTTTGTACACAAATATACACCGCAACAAAAGGGCAGAGGGCGTTTTGGTGCTTGCTCAACAACATCTGAGCCAGGGCAGGATTTGAACTTGCAATCATGTGAGTCAGTTATCATGTAATCTTTACAAACCTTTGGCTTTTATTATGTCAGATATTGATGTAATAATGTAACAGGTTGGGGTAGAGTACACACAAGACTGTAGGCAGGTTGTCAGGTTTAAGTTCTTTTAAGGTTAAGGATGAGGAATGCTGTTTTGATCTACCTGCAGATGATGCTAAATACACATATACCGGTATACATATAGTAGTGATGAGCAAATGTTTATTGAGTGTCAATAAAGCATGGGATATTTTGTAAAAGCATATTTTGTGATGAGCAAATGTTTATTGAGTGTCAGTAAAGCATGGGATATTTTGTAAAAGGATCCTTCAACGCAGAGCATCAACTGGAGTACGACTGACTGAAGGGTGTGGAGTTTAGACATACCTGGGGCAGCTGCTCCGTATCCGTGGCCAACATTGGCAATATTGTATGGCTCATTAATGGTGATCCACATTTTAACTTTGTGACCCAGACGGCTAAAGATAAGGTCTGCATAGTCTCTGAATTTGGAAATGATTGAATTGTTCTCCCAACCCCCCATGTCCTGCAAAGCTTGTGGAAGGTCCCAGTGGTAAAGAGTGATCTGAAAAAAAAAAATTAAAAAGATACTTCATTGACATGTTAAGTTATTTTTAGTAAGAGTGCTAGTTTTAATTCAGCGCACATGTGGTTGGATGTTTGCAGCAAGCAGGGCGTCCACCAGTCTGTGGTAGTAGTTGAGTCCAGCTTCATTGATGTGCTTGGTGGTCCCGTCAGGAAGCACTCTTGGCCAGGATATGGAGAATCGATAATGGTTGACTCTAAGTTGCTTTAGCATAGCTACGTCCTCGTCTACTTTATTATAACTGTCACATGCTACATCCCCGTCGTCATCATTAAACACTCTGAGAGGAGTGTGAGCAAACTTGTCCCAGATGCTGAGACCTTTTCCATCTGCTCTCCATCCACCTTCAATCTGTTGGGACGAATGTGCATGGATTTACCCACAGGAGTTCATGAATTAACCTAAGTGAACAAGTATAAAGTTCATGGTTTTATATAATTACCTGGTACGATGCAGTTGCGGTACTCCACAGGAAATCCTTACGAAAATGTCCATAAAGCATTTTCTCGTCGTCTGGTGTAGGAAAGCCGTTGTCTCTTATGACTTGATGGTAAAAATGAGCTGAGTACTTGGGTGTCCTTGGTCGGTTTGGGTTGGTAAAGTCGACATGGTGTAACCCGAAACCAACTTCGTACCCATTAAGCCATTCAAAGGAATCCATGAGAGATGTTGCTATATATCCTTTCACATTCACAGCATCAAGATCACGGGCTGTTGTCAAAAATAAGTACAAATCAAAGACAGAACAAACAACCTGAAGAATCAGAGCAATGATTAATAGTTCACACTGTGAAATGATTTCTCGTCACATCACCTTTGAGAGCTTCGTTGATGTAGGTCTTGTAATAAAACACCCTAGCAGAATCATCCCATGTAGTTTTGGAATCTGTGGCTACTCCATTCTCAGTGATATAGATCTCGGGGTCTCCGTACTCCTCTTTAATCCAGTTCAGGAGTCTTCTCAAGCCCCACGCAACAGCTCTCTGGTTCTTGATGGCTGTGGTGGGCGAATCTGTTTCCTCTTCCTCTGACAAATCCCTGTCATATTCATAAGACTTAGGCGATAGCCTTAGTGTAGCATGGCCTACAATCTTAGTTGTGTAGTGATTAACACAGAACACGTCGGCTGTTCCTCTGATGTAACTCTTTTCTTCTTCAGTAAATGTGGGAAGTCTTGACTCTGGAGGACCTTGGAGTTCACTCTTGTTTCCAACCTGCCACTTCATTGCATCTGGATAGTCACCGTTCTTAAAAATCGGGTGTGCAAACCATCCAAGTTGGAATTGCATGGCGCGGTCGGCTGCTACAACCTCCCTGGGTACGTTGACATCTTTAGGTTCAAACCAATCAGCATTCAGGGCAATGGTGACAAGACCACCTTGGGCCTTCCGATACTTGTCATCGTAAGTGTGGTAGGCCTTGGCATGAGCTTTGAGGAGGTTGTGTGCAACAGTGTATGGTGTAACTGCTGGATCTTTAACTCTCGCTGGGATCTGTCCAAGTCCATATCCTGACCATGCAATTGTGTAAGGCTGGTTAAAGGTCATCCAGAATTTCACTCTGTCCCCAAACGTGTCAAAGCAGAAATCACAAAAGTCATTAAATATGTTGATCATGTCTACATTTTCCCACCCATCCATGTCCTGTAAAGCTTGGGGGAGGTCCCAGTGATAGAGAGTCACCATGGGGGTAATGTTGTACGCTAAGAGACCATTAATGAGTCCGTTGTAGTAGTCAACACCTTTCTGATTCAAGGATGTACGTCGACCATTAGGGAAGATCCTGGACCAGGATATGGAGAATCGGTACGATGTCACTCTCAGAGCTAGCAGCATGTAAAGGTCTTCATTGATTCGGTTGTAGCTATCACAGGCTACTTTACCAGTAGCGTTATTTGGAATAATGCCAGATGTATTAAAGACATCCCAAATACTGGGTCCTTTCCCGTCTGCATCCCAGCCTCCCTCTATCTGGTACGCTGATGATGATACTCCCCAACTGAAGCCATGAGGGAAAGTACCGTAATGATAGAGCTTTCTTTCAAATTTGCTTTGATTTGAGAATTTCTTCCAGACATTTATGGCGTGTGACGGCACTGTGGAAGGTGGCACCGGGGTAACTTTAGATGGCGTCATATGTTTAATTCTATGACCAGTAGGGAAATGACTTCTGGGAGCAAAACCGTTGTTTTTTATGAGTTCAGCGTAAAAGTATGCAGATTGTTTCGGAGTCCTGGGTCTGTCAGGAACATCAAAGTTAACATGGTGAAGTCCAAACCGTTGACTGTAGCCTTGTGGACCTTCAAAACCGTCCATTAGAGACTGGACGGTGAAGTGGCGCACATCTACTTCATCCAATTTTATTGCTGTTGAAACCATAAGAGAAGGAAACTCAAAACAAGTTACAAGAAAAGTTCAGTTCAATAAATAATTAAATAAAGTATAGATATCATATTTCAAAAGAAAGAACAAATACAGTGCTGACAGCTGCACCTGACGTACCTTTCAGGACCTCATTGATGTAACTCCTCATGTACTCTATCCGGTCGGTGTCATTGAGAGTGTCCCCGCTGTACTCAGTTGGCATGCCATTTCCTGTTATATGGATGGGTACTTTGCTAACATTCAGATATTCACTGGAAACATAGTTGAGAAGCCGTCGAAGACCCCATGGTACTGAAACGATCCATTCGGAACCTGTGGTGGCCCAGGATGGGTCCACGTGTGCCTCAAAGTCACCAACTCCTTCAGGACCTGGGTTGCAGCCACCATTACTATTGTTGACCAACCGGGAGGTGTAGTGGTTCAAACCAAAAAAGTCAGATGTTCCTTTTATTCTCTTTTTCTCTTCAGCAGTAAAAACTGGAAGCCTGGCAGGTTCAAAAAGAGGACACTCTTTTTTTTTCTCCTCAATTTGTGTCTTTAGTGCTGAAGAATAATCTCCATCCACAAATATGGGGTGTGCAAACCAGCCCAACATGAACTGCAGGTATCGATTCGCAGCTGCAACGTCATCAGGACTTGTAGGGTCAAGAGGCTCCACCCAGTCGGAATTTAAAGCTATACCCACTTTTCCACCTTGTTTCATCCGGTACTTGTCGTTGTACACATGCCAGCTCTCAGCGTGGGATTTGAGTATGTTGTGAGTGGCCTACAAAGATGAGAAACAAGCTAACGTGACAGAATTTCAACATATATATATATTAAAAACCATCATGATATGATATTCATTTTAGGCTCACCTGATAGGATGCAACCACATAGTCCTTTAACCCCGGGGGATGTTGACCAGTGCCATACCCAGCGTGACTCACCACCCAGGGGCTACTGAATGTGTTCCAGGTCTTGACCCTGTCTCCAAACCTGGAGAAACAGAAGTCGGCATAGTCCTTAAAAGCCTCAACAATGGACAAGTTGGTCCAACCGCCGTGGTCCTGGAGGGCCTGAGGCAGATCCCAGTGAAACAGGGTGACCACAGGTTGCACTCCAGATTCGAGCAGGGCATTGATCAGCTTGTCGTAATAGGCAGCCCCTTTTTCTGATTGGCTGCTTCGGTAGCCTGAAGGGAAGATACGGGCCCAGGAGATGGAGAACTGGTAGGTGTTGACGCCAAGACCTCGGAGGAGGTAGACGTCATAATCCACCTTGTGGAAACTTTCACAGGCTACATCAGCTGTCTGATTGTCAAAGACCATGCCTTGGTGACCAAATCGATCCCAAATAGTTTCCCCTTTGCCACCTTCTGACCAGCCACCCTCAACCTTGAAGGACTCAGTGGAGGTGGACCAATGGAAGTCAGCAGGGAAGGACTCATTGAGAAAAGCATCTCGCTGTGTTGGAGTCTGGGACCGGAATTTGTTCCATACACTCTGATAACTGTCCCTGACGTTCTCTGGAATGCTGTTTGTTAGGTAAAAAAATTACAAAAAGAAAACGCAACAGTAAAGCAACAGCAGCCAAATTAATAAAAATGTAAATCATGAGCGTTGACATTAAGAACGGAAATTCTGATCGCACACCCTCACATACCTGATTCCAGCATCGTGCAGGTCCAAGTTGTCCAGCACGTTCATCATGTCACATCCCAAAATATTCACATCATTGCTGTTCAGGACTGCGAGAGTCACAGGTATTATAAAAAAAAGTTGGTGACAGTTGACGTTGCATGAAAATCTTTTTAACCTCCATTACCTTGAAGCAAGTTGCCAAGAACTTCCAACTCATTCAAAGGACAGTTGGTGGCAGTCAAGTCGTATATCAGAACAGGAACGTTCCCACTGGACATCTGCAGAATATCATTGCATGTGACTGTAGTGCAATGGTTGCCAAAGCACCCCCACTCTGGTCTAACCCACTGGACTTTATCAAACCCCTGATTACTAATTTGCGTTTCCCGATTGGAAACAGAAGGTAAAGTTACAAAGGTAAAATTGAAAGTTGCCAAAGCACCCCCACTCTGGTCTAGCCCACTGGACTTTATTAAACCCCTGATTACTAGTTTGCGTTTCCCGATTGGAAACAGGAGATAAAGTTACAAAGGTAAAATTGAAGTGAATTTGCTTTAACGTGCCATGTCCCTTCAGGGGACCCACCCCCTACTTTGGGAACCACTGATGTAGTGCATCTAACCCAAACCACTGAGTCTGATTACTGTACCTGAAGTTGCTTTAACCATTTATGGAAGTCCTGCTCGTAGTCACACCGGTATTCAACGTGGAGTGATAAGAAATCCATCTGCTGCGAACAGAAGACGGAGAATCTGTCAACGTCTCAGCATTTACTGCAGCGCTGCAGTTTTACTGACCAATAAAAGTGTTTTACACCATGGTCAGGCACATTAACACGCCATAAGAGGCCGCCAGGTGGACCGTGGAAAAGCATGTCATTTTATATGGATGGTCTGAAAATTATTATTTATTTAGTGCAAATCATTTGTCTTTGTTTGTCAAACACGGAGCTGAATCACTGTTGATATTGTATATATTGTGACCTAGTCCAGTTTATGGCTCAAACTCGAGCTCAGAGGATTGCTGGTTCAAATTCTGGTCCTGTAAAGACTTTGGTGTGTGAGAGAAAGGAGAGATTTTTTTTAGACTTTTCAGGCCACACAAAATGACACAGCGAGCCACATTTGGCCCACGGGCCTCAAGTTTGACACGTGCTGTAGACCATTTATATTGTGAACAGGTATAAATCAAACCTAAGTATAAATATGCAGTTTTAAAACGTTTGAAAAATACTCGTCCACTTACTGACGTTAAATCTTTTTTCTGTGAAACAACGGCTGCGTCCTCGGCTTTCAGACCGACCGACAGACGTCTCCCTGTGAACAGACAGACGGCGGTTAATACGTAACATTTTAAATGATAAAAATAAAACACATTTAGAAGATAAATGGTACTGATTTAAATCTTTTTTTTTTCGGACTCGTCACTGACACAGGCCTGATAATCTAGGCAGGAAAACATGTAATCTCACATTTCAGTATCAGTCAGTCGTAAAACTGAATTTGAACCAGTGAGAAAAACAGCATTTACATGAGTAAGGAAAAAAACAAAGTTCATGTAATGTTATGAAAAAATTATTTACAGGATATAAGAAATACTTTTATGTGAAAAAGTTTTAAAACTTTCCACCAAATTCTTAAGAATCTAGGATTTTATTCCTTTATTTATTTATTTATTTATTTTCCCCATGGAAAAGAAACAAGTCAAGATGATGATTTTTTTTAAAACAATATAAAATAAAATCCATGATCTAGTATAAAAATCAAATTTCACATATTTTAAAATTTTATTTTTTTATTTCAACCATGGCCGTTTCCCACCTCTGCCTGGAAACTGATGATGAAAACTCCGGTGGATTTCTCCGTTCAGCTGGATGAACTGCTGCAGTGGTTTGGAGCCATCAGTCGATCGGCAGTCGTGGAAAACGCCACACAGGTCACTCAGGGTCAACCACGTCTCTGCAAATGCTCCGAACTCCCGGAACGCAAACTCTGCGTACAGTCGGAACACGTTCATCAGCTGCGGGTTCTCCCAGCCTCCGTACCTCAGCCTCAGAGCCTGGGGAACGGCCGGGTCCGAATGAAGAACGACCAGGGGCCGAAGACCGGCCTCCACCAGGTCTCTCAGCAGACCGTGGTAACAGGAGACCACCGTCTGCTGCGCCTCCTCAGGGAGGCCGGTGGGGAGGAGGTGAGCCCAGGACAGTGGCACTTTGAAATGGGTCACCCCTCGACTCTGGAGGTATTCAAAGTAGAGCCTGGAGGCCGCAGGCCTGGGGCGGCTGCAGTCGAAGACGAGATCGGCTCCTTCACCCGAGCTGTGCTGCTCCATCAGAGGACCGGCCAGAAGCATGAAGTCCTGCTCCTTCACCCTGCTGCTCCAACACTGCTCTGGACGGAGCAGGCAGAGACACAGCAGCCACAGCAGCTCCTTCATGGTGACGTGGGGGTGATGGACTGATTCCTCCGCTGGTACCCAAGACTTTTTGAAGCAAGACTTTTTTTTTTCTCCTGTTTCATTGTCAGATAATTTAGATCAATATCAAAGATGTGTTTGTGCATTTCACTGTGTTTTATGGCAGCTTGCGTGATAATCGTAAAGACATTGGACTCACACCTGGACCTGTGTCTGAAAAACATGACAAGAGTTTGACCAGAGAGGCTGAAACAACGTCGTGTTTTTTTTACATGTAGGAATGAAATGTGTCGACACGGTGGGAGAACTTTGAGTTTGAGAAACAAAAACAAAAGAGAAATATGAACATAATTTGACTTTGAGTTTGAGAAACAAAAACAAAAAAAGTGAACGTAAATATGAACGTGATTTTTTTTGGTGTATTTTTTCTGGTCTTCTGAGACTTCATTATGGAAAATAGGTTGTTATCTGTTAATGAGGAGCAAAGTGGAAACAGCAGTGACACCTGACACTGTTTGGTGATAGTCTATCTTCAGAAATCCATCGTTATCGTACAGGCCACGATCATGTGCAGCCACTGAGATAAGGAGGAGGAGAACTTTGTCTCTCTGCTGAGGAGAACTGTGAATTATTAACGTCATTTAAAATTAATTATAGTAGTAATACCTGGAACAAAGGCCAGTGGAGTTGTTCAGAACAGGTTTCACTGTTAAAATTAAAGATTTTACACTGGCTCCAACTTTCATCCCACATCTTCATCCGCAAAAAGATTTGGCGGATTAATTTAATTTAATTTAATTTAATTTAATTTAATTTAATTTAATTTAATTTAATTTAATTTTTTATATGTCAGGTAACAAATTAAGTTTATTTTTAGATTGATGACCACGATTTCCGCTGGCAAAATTAAAAAAATATTTCTAATATTCAGCAGAGATGCACAGGTTTCCTGTTAAATATTTCTAATATTCAGCAGAGATGCGCAGACTTCCTGTTCATGAAGGTTTTTTTTTTCTTTTTTGTCGTCACTACAGTGAATTCGTCTGTAAAAAGATCTAAACCAAGTCGCTTTTCTTATTTTTTCAGTGTCAACAAGTGGCCTCTAGATGGCGGTAGTACATCATCTCATCTCAGTAGCAGTACAAAACACCGTGCTGGTGGAATATTAAATAAGCTCTGTAGTATTTTATCTTATACATAATTTAGTAGTAAAGTTCCAAAAAACTTTTTTTTTTTTCACACTTTGCCCCCCCCCCCGTACATGTCCAGTACTACATCCAATGAACCCCAGTACTTGTACAGTAAGACGTGGAGTTGTTGAAGTGATCACAGATGTAACGTCATGGTTCTGGTCCGGACCTGTGTGTCCAGAACCCAGCAGGTTTTCTCAGCCTGCTCTGATGTCACTGTGTCCTCTATCAGGAAAACAAAGTTACTAATCCTGTGGGGCGGGGCCCTGGAAATGGAACTTGGAATATTTTCATTCCTAGAAATGCAATGTGATCCTTGAGGAATGTTTCCAGATGAACCAGGACCGGAGGAGCAGCAGACACCTGGTACTGACCACGACGTCCAGATGGTTCCTGTCCATGAGTTACTACTACTACTATCACTACTACAACTACTACTACTACTATCACTACTACTACTACTACTACTACTTCTCCTCTCCTGTTGTCTGATGTTTTTTTTCTTTGTCTCCTCGTGGACTCGTCTCGTTGAACACTGCAGCTTCATAAACAGTGGTCTGGACGTGAGGACATCTGTCCCCCACATGTGACCCCTGACCTTTCCCTTCAACAGTAAAATCACACCAACAGTGTTTCAGCTCAGAGCTTAACTTAACTGTAAGCCTGACTACGGGGTTAGGACCCAGACCAGTGTGAGGTGTTGGGCTGCTGAGGAAACACTCGGGAGGGAATCCCTGTGAAACTCTTCCTGGACTGAGATCATTATCACAAATCCTGCCGCTGACAGAATCAATTTCCTTGTTTTGTGCTCAGCGGTGCCATATCTGCTAAATGCTGCATTCCTCCTTCAGAGAATCCCGTTTTACAGGTCCCTGCACGGAACAAGGCAGGAATGGAAAGTGAAGCAGGAAATTGAACGGCAGGTCCTGCAGTGCTGTGCAGACTGCTGTGTCTACGACTGTTTCCTCGGAGCAGACCTCCGCTGCTGCTCCCGCTCTCAGCAGATGCATCTGTGCCTGCACCAATCATCCTCCCAGTCCTGCAGGGGAAAATTCTGGTCAGGCGCGTGACGCAACATTAGCCTCGACGCCGTCGCTGCTTCAAACATCAATTACATTTTATTGTTGGGGTACTGATACGCCAGTGTGCGTGCCATTTGGCAGCCTCGCTGCCATCTTGGCTGCCTCCTCCCGCAGCCTGTTTGAGTGCAGTGTTTGGAGGGACATGTGGCAGGATGGCACTCAGCAGCTGGCGTACAGCTCAGCTCACACACACTGATGTTCACCGAAGGCCAAAGGCTGCATGCGTGGCCTTTGACGACGTAGAGATGTTTGGTTGTTGTTGTTGTTGGTGGTGTAACAGGTGATCCTGCAAGAGCACGAGATACACTTACAAAGTTAAAGAAGTGCGTGGAAAAATGTTTGAAAAAGTCTATATATAGAGGCTGACAAGATTATTGCATGGATTGCATTGATTTGTTTGTAAAAATGACATATAAATATGTATAAATATATCTAAATATATATCTAAATATATATTTATATATATAAATATATATATATAACTATATATATATAACTATATATTTAAATATATCTAAATATATATATAAATATATATATTTATATACATATATAGTAATATATACAGTAATCATATCACAGTAATTGCATTTCAAGACCCGCTAAGTACAAAATGTATATATATGTATATGTATACATACATACATACACATATATTAATATATATGTGTATATATATACAGTAATCCCTATCCTATCGCAGTAATTGCATTTCAAGACCCGCTAAATACAAAATGTATATATATGTATATGTATACATACATACATATACATATATTAATATATATGTGTATATATATACAGTAATCCCTATCCTATCGCAGTAGTTGCGTTCCATGACCCACCACGAAATACAATCTATGTATGTATACTGTACATACATATGTACATGTATATATACATATATATGTATAAAGTATATATATATATTTTTTTTCTCCATATATATACGTATATATATATATATATATATATATATGAAGGAAAAAGAAATTTTACAAATGACACATTTGCCGAAGTATTGGATTCAGAGATTCCGTCGTGAAAAACAAACGTGTTGCCGTTATGTAACTGTACGTGTCACTGTCGGAGGAGGACAACACAATGGTTTGGCCGCAGTCGCCGCGAGTGTCTGCAGCACGACTTCCTCTGGCAGGTTGGATTGTCTGAAGATTCTAATTAGGTCTGGCTGTCTAATGAGCCACTGGTCTCCAGGAAACAATTAGCAGAAGCCGCACAGTAACAGGATGGAGTCTGCCATTAGGCAGCGGGGCTCCGTCTCACTCTGCTGAAAATACACAAAAGTCCGACACTATCTCAGGTGTGTGTGTGTGTGTGTGTGTGTGTAGATGTTAAGAGACCTGCACTCAAACCATCTGTAGTGTTCAACTATTTCTTCCAGAACAGCCGAGGATTTTAAAGCCTCAGAAACAACGTTCATCTGATCCAATCAAACCACAGGTTTCAGTTTCCGATGTTCCAACTTTACACCAAAATCAATGACAAAAAAAAAAATGTTATTGCATTTTCAGTAAAAGTGATGCCATTCTCATTACTGCATTATCAGAGGGAAATACTGCAAGACTACTGCAAGGACCAAAATATCAAATTCTTCCAGTTTCTCTGGTTGTGTTGTTCAAATCAGCACACGGAGCAGAAACGACTAAAACCCTCAGCTCTAATTGAGTTATCTGGATGCACCGACACACGCCCTGTTATCCCCCCCCCCACCCCCAATTTGTGGGTGGCTAAAATCTTGAAATTAAATAAGATAATGGAAAAAGACAGCGTTATTAGATTATTCCAAAAAGGTCTTAGAAGTGAAACATTCACAGCAGTTTACAGCAGACCCCCCCCATTCTCCTTTTTATCACATCTGTATACATACATCATGACATCTGTGATCCACACCTTTGGCTGAGCTGCAATAACCCACCACGGGTAAATGTGCCAGTAATGTCTTATCTCCAGAAGGTGGACACTGTCTTCTCAGGAGGTCAGATTTAGAAAAAAAAATAAAAATCCTGCCCTCACAGCATCAGTACAGTAAAGTCCAACGGCACAACGACAAAAAAATGTCTGTACTGACATGATATGATCTTCTAGTTTCACTTGACCCACAATGGGCCTGTTTAGTTGAACACAACACTGATGAGCTCGCAGGAATTGAAGAAAGACACGAATAAAGATCTTCTCCTACAGTTCAATTAAGTAAATATTCGTTTACACACCACCATCAAGTAAAATAGAATAATTTCCTACAGCAGACCCGATGATGGGTAGAAAAAAAGTGACCCAGTAGGGGGCAGTAATACAACTCACGAGATTCAGATCAGCCAGTAGAGCTCAAAGAGAAAATAGGACTGACGGTGCGAGCGATTTGTCATATAAAGAGACCCAGTAGGGGGCAGTAATACAACTCATGAGATTCAGATCATCCAGTAGAGCTCAAAGAGAAAATAGAACTGACGGTGCGAGCGATTTGTCGTATAATAAAGAATTTCATTTTTAATCATGATTTTTCAGAATAAAAATGTTAATAGTTTCACAGCCTTAATATAGTTTTTAATTAAGTTTAAACTGAAAGCAAAGTTGAATAAAAGGAGCTGAAACTGTGTGTGATATGAACCACTTTATTACATTACTAGAAAATGTCAAACTGTACAAATCAAACGCAGGTTTTTCTCCCCGCGGCAACATTCAGATTTATTGAAGAAAGGTTTTACTTTCTGACATCTGGATTTTCTTGTCACTTTTTTTCCCCCCTGGAATTGAACACAGGTGTCAGGAATCCTATCAAATCTCA